TTTTTTTAAAAAAAACATTGTGTGCAGTATTAGATAAACAGATGACCAATGTTAAAAAATTTAGTTTTAATCTTTCGGAAACATATACTACTGAGCTGTACATGGAGTCTCCACTGCAAGAGCTAAAAGGATTTAATAATAAAAAACCACGTAATATAGAAACATTTGTTTATAGGTTTGGAATAGAATAGGATATTTGTTTTTATAATACAAATTAATATTTTAATGTGAAGTATCTGAAAACTTGAGCATCTGTCAATACTTACCATTTACTTCCTGATGAAACTGGAAATTCTTTTTCAAAGGTTTTGAAAAAGTGTATTTGTTTTTCATAGAGCCAAAAGATTATAATTGAAAGCGTTTTATTTGGCCACTTTTGTATTCATACATTGAAATCAATTCCCCACTCACTGCAAAAATTAATTCTGATTTAAATTAAAGCAACCCTGACAATAGACAAACCACCTCCCAATTAATTTCTCTAATCATTTATATGTGATAAAAATGGTATGTAGGCGAAAAAGTCAGATTGAGCATATTTAGTATAAAAACTATATTTAGCAATATAGCCAAAGCATAGGGAGAATGTTATTAATAGTTTGATTAGAACATCAATTATTGTCATTAATTTTGAAAATCTGAGCCTTTCTCTTCAAGGTTTATGAGCTAAAGGTTAAGTGTATGTTAACATATCTTACTTTGAGCTGCTGACTGTGCAGGCTGCCAGTGTTTCACTTGGGAATTAATTCTCAACAGCAGCTATACAATAGAATATCAAGGGAGCAAAGCAAGTAACAGGAAGATAATAGAGTAACATTAAAAATGTCTTATTCCTCTTTCTTATTTAATCATGACTTTAGCACTTGTTTCATCTTACTGAGGAAGGAACTGCTGCTTAGTAATACAGTAAACTTCTCCTCTAATCATTCTATCAAATAGTTTTTAAATGAATATTAGTCTATTGCTCCTTTGTACACGGCTTTCTGCTCATTTGGGAGGAACAGCAGAATAATAACAGTAGTGGTACCAGTAGTGAGAGCCAGGGTAGTGTAGTGGTTAAATCGCCATGCTAGAAATTGGGAGAATGTGAGTACCCACTTTGGACACAGAGCTAATTGGGTGACCTTAGGCCAAGTTCATCCTTAGCCCTAGAAAGAAAATAATGTCAAACCACTTCTGAAAATCTTGCCAAGAAAACTGCAGGGACTTGTCCAGACAGTCACCCGGGAGTCTACACCGATTTGAAGGTGCAGAAAAAAAAAAAGAGGAAAGAACATACCTGTAGTAGTACCCTTCAGTATTACCCTTCCATGAACTTAACAACTTTCAATGAAATATTTCAAAGGTCTCAGGGTGATAACTAAGTTGTTTTGGGGGAAAAGATTTTTACACATTATAAGATTTTCTTATGAAAGTTACACAGGGTTCAAAGTGAGTATACTGTATGTTACTAATACATAAGAAACTACTGCAGTTGATCCCATAAATATTCTATAAAATCACATTTTCTATTTACAGTACTTTAGCCAGACTCAGGCTACTCTGCCCTGTGCTATCACTGAGGGAAAGTATGTGAGATTAGAAATGCCCCCAACCTCCCAGGCTTTACAAAGGCGTAGAAAATGTATGGTTTCACAGAGCACATGGGTGTTGACAGAGTAAGAACTGTTAACTAAATGTAATTTTCTTTGAATTATTCCATTTGACTTTAAACCACACTGATTTTTTGTTGAAGTGGACAGTATCTAAATAATTATATAACTAAATAGCATATTGTTGATAACCTTCATTTTGGCTAATGCAGAATACTGTATACTATATTTTTACTCAGAATACTGTAAGTTTTTATGAGACCAAAGAGGAAGATCCCATCCTTTTTCACAAGCAATTTTTCTATATTTCATTATCAAATATTCAGTATTCCAGAAATGCTTCACTGAACATTTGGGAGATACAGCCCTTTATATTTACCTTTAACTATTATTTTAATGATTCAAGTTTTAAAAACTCATTAAGCATACATTCTTCTCCTTCTTTCCAATTCTGGGTTCTGTTGTTTTTTATTTCCAGAATTTGCTATGAGGAGCAGTGGTTAACATAATTTCATAGTATTAATAAGGCTATGAAGTTGTTTAATTTCCCTTTACTTCATTTAAGCAGAATATTGTCTGTACCATTAAAGTTCCAAAGAAAACAGATTAGATGACTCTGCTCTTATAGAATGGGCCATTTTCAAATGATAAAATGCAAGTCCCTTCACATTTTCTTTCTTTTACTTGTTTATTAATATGTTTAAAGGCTTTTTACAATTAATCTGCAAGGGTATTAAAATGCAATCTTACTAAATAAAATTCATTCTATATGCAATGTTATACTTTGTAAAATCTTTCTGTTATAGTTACTAGTCAGTAAAATAAATGTAAAATTTAACAATTTACAAGATTATTTTAAGGATGAATGAGAATGCAATAATATTCCACATTAAAATACAGTAATAAAGCACAGTGACAAAAATGCCATTGCTTACCTCCATTTCCTATTAAATAATTCATTACAATATTCAGTTCTGTGTTTGGTAAAGTAGGTAAAGAAAGCAAATATTTTAAAAAAAATTAGAAATAGGCTTGCCTTAAGTTCTAAGATTTTTCTACAATGTACATTTAATTCTTACAGAACAAGACCGCACAGGGAACCCATTAGAGACACCCATTTTCACTCGTAACTATGGCAGTTTCAATTCAATAAGTTGAGGTTTTTTTATAAGTAGTTGACTTAAAATGTCTGCATTTTGTTTATTAATTACAAAAAATTAATGTGTTCCTGATATTAAAGTAATACAACAAAAACAATATGTTTATCAACAAATGCTGTTTCCATTCTTGTTTATATTTTTATTATGAAGTATATTACAGTCAATATATATCCTGCACGGAAATACTATAGTATTTGTACTTATGAAATTGGGTTTTACTAGTTGTACACAACAATGTACAGTACGTTTAGCTTTTTTAAAAAAATGCTTATTTTATACTGCTGCTGCAGTAATGAGGAATGGCTAAAGATCATGCAAGCCATTTTAGTCCCACCACCATTGAAGAGTTTTCTTAGCTTTTCCTCTCAATCTTTTTCCAAGTATTCCTGCTACCACCACCACCACTACTCTACATTTCTGAATGTGTCAGTCTCGACGAATGCAATCCCACTTTAACAAAACGGCAAGCTGAGATTGTCACAATTTAAAATTCTATGTTGTTGTTAGTTGTGATGTCACGTCTGACCCATCGCGACCCCATGGACAATGTTTCTCCAGGCCTTCCTGTCCTCTACTGGAGTCAATTTAAGTTCACATCTACTGCTTTGGTGACTCCATCCAGCCACCTCATTCTCTGCCGTCCTCTTCTTCTTTTGCCCTCAATCTTTCCCCAGCAGTAGGCTTTTCTCCAGTGAGTAAATTCTATACCCAAAGCTATATCCTCATCTGCTATTGTAGAAAATGTCTGAGTCTTCTGTACCAGTTCTTTCTTGAGCAGGATAGAATTTTGGTCCTAATTAGACTCTCTGCAGGTTGGAATGATTGCTTTGATTTTTTTCAAACAGGGAGCCAGTGGATGAGGTGCTCCAAATCCCCCCTTCCTTGTTAACATGTGGAGGTTGTCAGCAAAACATTGGGGATCGATACTTCCTTAAAGCCATTGACCAGTACTGGCATGAAGATTGTCTGAGCTGTGATTTATGTGGGTGCCGACTTGGAGAAGTGGGAAGGAGACTATATTATAAACTGGGCAGAAAGCTCTGTCGAAGAGACTATCTCAGGTAAGCTACTCGCTCCTCATCCTTTTGCCCTGCTGATAGTTTTCTCTCACAATTCTTTAGACACAGTGTGTCTCAGCCTCAGCAACTTTAAGATGCATGGACTTCAACTCCCACAATACCCAGCCAGAGTACATACATCTTAAAATTACTGAGGTGAGAAACATTGCTGTAGAACAAAGCTAGGATCACCTACAAAATTTGAGTTGGGTTCAGCTTCAGCTGAAAGAACATATGTGGTTGTTTGAAAGGAACTAGTCTTGAAACTCAACTTGGGAAAGCCTTTTGCCAGATTAGCCTGAGAAGAAAGACTCTTTCAGCAAAGTCTGATTTGCTAGAGAGTGAGGCTGAAAAAAGATCCAATTCACCTTTGAAAGTGATGCTAGAAGGACAATGTTACAGACACAAAGAGAAAAAGAGGCAGAATCTTGACAGAGGGCCTATGAGTCTAAGACTGAATAGCAAATGTATGTTCAAGACATGAGGGTAGGGGGGTAATAGTGTTGTCAATTGCTTTGGGCTTTACAAAAAGTATGGCTCAAGATTTCAAATTAATAAAATAATATTATTATTTCTCAATAATATTAATTCAAGGCAGAACAACTAATCAGTTGCCTTTATACTGTCTCAATTATTTCCATTAATTTAGTGCTCCCCATGCAGTCTTATTTAGTGGGCCACTGATTTCAGTAGGAAAAATATACCCTGGGATAAGAATATAATGTGAATAAATTCTAAGTACAAGTAATCCTCGACTTGAAACCATTTATTTAGTGATTGTTTGAAGTTACAACAGCACTGGAAAAAGTGACATGACTTTTTCACATGACTATTGCAGCATCCCTGGGGTCACATGATCAAAACTTGAATGCTTGGAAACTGGCATATATTTTTGACAGCTGGAGTGTCCCAGAGTCATATGATCACCTTTTGCTACCTTAAGACAAGCAAAGTCAATGGCGAAATCAGATTCACTTAACAACTGTGTTACTAACGTAACAACTGCAGTGATTCA